GCGTTCCCCTTTTAGAAGATTGTAAAAAATGTAACAACAGTGTATTTAAATTCCGCCAGAATTTTCTAAAAAATTTTAATTTAACATAAATAAACAATTTTAATTAAGCAATAATAATAAATATTATTATTTTATGTGTAATTTCTGTTCTACGTGTATTGCAATTATTAAATTATTGAGTCTATATTTTATATTACTATAATTGCGTAATTTTAAATCTGCGTAACATTTAAATGTTTTGCCAATTCTACTTATTTAATTTCAAAGTTTATAATCGAAATGCTGTATCTCAAGAGATATTTCGACTGCCAGCAAATAACAGTGAAAAATACGAAAAACTCGATGAGCCACTCGTTCCGCGAGTGCCATCGCGGAATATTGTTTTACGTCGCTGTTTTCCGGAAAGTTTATGTATCACCCCCTCCTTCTCCAATCCCGGACCGGTGTCCTTTGCGCACGATTTCACGGCACTTGCGAATCCGTCATTACAAACGGGCTCGCCCAGCTCTTTATCGCCATGTCGCTTTACCTGAAACCGTAGATTCGCCCGCGACTGCGAGAGAACGACCCGGCATGACCCGGAACAAACGGCGGAAGCGAGGCGGAAGGGAAACGAGGGCGCGTTGAAATCTAGCAAGAGTGCCGGAGGGAACGGGACGGGAGGGACGGAGAGAGGAAGGGACAAAGAGAGAGAGAGAGAGAGAGAGGGAGAGAGCAGCAGCGTCGGTTTAATTTATCTGGATTTACGGTGCTGAAGATGCCTCGCCGTCTGTGCCCGGCTGGAGAAGGAGGATTGCGAGAGTGGTAGGCGGGCGAAGGGGGGAGGAGGGGGAGGATTTTGCACAGAGCCATTTTGGAATGCAATTAAACGCAGTACAGTGAAACACGATGCCGCCGCCGCCGCTGCTGCTGCTACTGCTTCCCACCTCCACAACCCCTGCTATGCTCTGCCTCCCCCCGTTCCCCGCCGCTCTTCCTCCCGCGTAGCACCTGCTCTTTGCCTCGTACACGAATGCCTTGATGTGCCCAGGTACAAACAGGGTGCTTTCCGAACGGTCGAGTCCTGACGAGGCGCAAAGTGGATTCGCGCCTCGTCTCCGGCGAAATGCGTTTCGTCGCTTCAAAGCGCTCTCTCGCCCTGTCGAGCAGATTTAATTCGAGAATTACTTCGCGCGCCGGCATTGCCGCTCCGCTCCGTCCGATGCGACGCTGAATCCGCGAAATTACGTCCGGTGAATAAATACCTGTTTTTAGCGTAGTATAATTTTTAGCGACGAAACCCAAACGGATTGAATTAAGCGAATCATTGAAGGCGCAACGCTTTTTATGGCTCTTTATCGAAATAAATTAGTATCATGATTTTTGTTTAATTAATCTCACTCAAAAAAATATTTCGCTGATGTAGTTAGATTTCTAGATATCGCAACAAGAATGTATCGCTATTTTTCGTATCTGTGAAAACATTGTTTGTCACATATAGAATTTATAGCAGTAATGTTCTAGCAATAGCTTCTGAAAAATTTAGGTATCATTGCTAAATGTTATTCATTGCATGATCTAACACGTGATTGATCTTATACAGATAGGCGCTTTAGAGAAACTTTCTTTTTAAAGTTGACAAACAATACAGATATATATTCTGTTTCTGTCATCTAAACTGATTAAGTAATTACATATGCAATATCACAACAGTTGCTAATCATTTATCTGTTTTAGTTAATTTTTTACACCTAGAAAATTTTAGCTATTATTGCAAGATCATTTTTTTGAGTGTATACAAACTACAACAGAAATATGTAAAGTTATGAAACACTTGTATTCAGTTATGCAACTTGGAAATTGTATGATACGTGAAGTATGCCGAGGTACATCTTGTCAGAGAAAATTCAAGTTGTAAACAAGTTGTAACAAGAAATTGTAACAAGTTGTAACATGAGAAATTTTGGAATTACATTAGCATAATTCCTAATTGTATTGTAATTATACAATTAACTCTTCAGAGAAGTTATCTTGGAATCTTTGTTTTTTTTTTAAATTATTCTCTATTAAATTCTCAATTAAATTCTAACTAATTCTATTAGTTTTGTGAATTATTTGGCGAGATTTAAACGACGTGAACTCGCATGAATATCGGATTGTGGAGTGCGCCCTTGGATCTAGCGAGAATGGAGGAGGGACGGCGAAGTCGGTCGTCCCCAGGTTCATTTTGATAAGGAAGAGCATCATCCCTATCCCAAGGGTCGGGGGTGCACGGAGGAAGAGGGCGAGAGACAGAGAGGAGGAGAGAAAATGGCGGCCCGGAGGGAAATCCGACACCAAATCGAAGGAGACGCCATCGCAAAGCGCGGCGCCGCCCCTTTATCATTGGGTCTTGACTTCGGCACGGTGTCATCCTCGTGCTCATAAGCTTACACTGAGAATCGGAATAATTATCACAAGTTCTTTCTTTTGCATCTTGTATATCACGTAATCCCCTTTCTTAAGCGACGTCAGTGATATCAATTAAGAAATTATGCAGACTGCAGCATGAGCGATCGAACTTATTGTATATTTGAGGAATGAATGTGGAATTTGAAGCAAATATTTTTGCAGAGCAAAACCGTGTCTCACTTGAGCACAATTTTAGATTTAATTTCAAAAATGTATAATATATAAAAATTTAAAAATCACGGAATAAATTTCACCCGCAATCACAAGTTTAATTTTTCCACACAATCAGCTTTATTTATTTATTTCTTCAAATTATATAATTAATTTACTTTGAATATTTCATCAGCTTATTTCACCAAACAAGAAGCGTTTCTATTTTTAAAAATAAAATCATCTTGGGTTAATTCTGATTTCAATTTATTTAGTGTATATACTTGTTAATTTTATAATAAATTCCAAAATTTTTCTTATTTAATTTCTGACAAAAGCTTCTTTCACGTTTTGAAGTGAAGTCACGCTACGTCTCCATCGCATAACGTATGAGTTAATTAGTCGAAAAAGGCGGAGCACGGTCAAAGGATTGACTAGGCATAGTGAGAAAAGATATCTTCACTCATTAAACATATATCGGCTTTCTTGAAGTCGGATATATATAATACGGGCGGTCTACTGGGCCTTTAGTTATTTCAATTTTTGACAAGACTTCTGTCACCTGACAAGCGTGTTAAATTTGTCATATTACCATGACTGCCATTCTTCATCACTGGTAATTACTTATTAAAAACACATTCAATAGTACTTAACTCAATTAACAAAAACACATTCAATAATACTTAATTAAATTAATAAAAATACATTCAATAATACTCAATTCAATTAATTATATAATAATGACTGATATGATATATTATCAAAATTATAAGGACAGAAGGTCAAAATATGTACATAAAAGATCCGTAACGATAAATGATACATGCAATATTCGTGAATGAACGAAACCGATCCTTGGGCGTGTACAAGTTCGTATTCGGACCGATCTCCAGCTAAAGTTACGTTTGTCGTTGGATCATATTTGCAGAAATGTGTATCATAATACGACTCCAGAGATGAGCCGACGACCTTCGCGAGGGGGTGGAAGTTTTATCGCGAGAAGCAAACGTTCTAAAAAATCCGCCTTTCTTCTTGCACCGGAAAACTCGCAAAATCATGCTCTGTAATAAAACAAAAAGATTAGTATAATATGTATACAATATAATTTATTATGACAATTATGCAATTAAAGATAATGAACAGAGGATAACAATGATTTTATTTTCAACATAGATATATTTTGCTTCGTGTGTGCAAATTTTACTGTAAAAATACAAAAAATGTGCCAGCTTTACAAAATTGCACGATAAAATTTGACCATATTGTTTAATCAGTGTATCTCATGTATCGTGTGTGCATAATAAATTGTTCAAAAAGTGTGATGTCTCAATAATAATCTGCAAACAAATTTACAACGAACTTTCTTTCATCAGGTCTATTGGCGAAGGGTGGACGACTGTTGCTGGTGTTGTGAAATTAATTGAACACGCGGCGCGATAGCGTCGCGTGGAATCACAACACGGTGTACGGTAACGTTGACACGTTCTGTTTCCGGTGTTTATTGGTCTACGCGCGTATTCCGTGATTTCTCGGCCGGCTCCGCAATAGCGGAAAACAGTCTCCACCATGCGAAATAAAAATCGCACAAAAATTGCTGAACATCGTAAATTGGAAGCTATGCGATAAGCATATAAATAAAATGAAATCTTCCATAAGCAAGTTTCTCCCGCTTTGAATTATTTTAAGCTTCCGGTAAATTTTACAGAGTAAGCAAAATAATGAAAAAACAGTGCCTCGCTAAATAATACACTACTTCCGAGCTACTTCTCGAAAATATAATTATGTTCAACGTACAAATTATAAAGACGCAAAAAAATTCAACAGAAGAAAACGAGCGAATAATGAATGTTAAAAAAAAAGAGAAAAGAGAAAACGAAACATAAGTACAATCGAAAATGAAGCATCAGAAGAAAAAGTTATAATGCGTAATACTGTAGTTCGTCGCAGCACAGTTACATAACAAAAGGGAAAAAAAAAAAGAAATTACGCGAGTGTCCGAATTGGAGGAAGAAATCGCCGAAATTTGATATATCCAGGTAATCGGTCCGTCGCGGAGGTCGCCAGGTGAGAATAAGTACAGAGGAATCACAGAAGCATCGTCGGCCCGAGGCGGCTCGGACGGGGTGAAGCCGTCGGTGTCGGCCGGTCGGGGGTAGAAGATCGCGCCGCCCCCATACGCGACCAATGGAACAAGGCTGCATGCCAAGCCGCGACCAATCGCTGAGCGGCTCATCGCGCGGAAGCAATGTCGAAAAAAAAAGAGGAGGACGAGCAGGAGAACGAGGGGAGAGAGAGAGAAGAAGAGAGAGAGAGAGAGAGAAAGACGGGCGAAGAGAAGGAAAGAGACGCAAAGAGAGAGAGAGAAAGAGAGAGCATCGTCAGCATTGGCTAGCACCACCACAACCTCGATGGAGTAGCCGCACAACCACAATTCACCAACGGAAGGCAGCGCTACGAACTGTGCTGTTGCATCGCGAGCGCGAACAGCCGAACGAACGCTTCACGAACTTGGTAACTTGGTCACTCAGTGAGCGTGTCCGCCGACCAAAAGGTGTCCCTCCTGACGAGTGTCGATTACGCAATCGGTCGTCCGCGTTCCGGCATTGGCGCAACTTTTTGAAGTTGTTACTTTCCGTCGTGGAAACGGGGGTGAGACGGTTGTTGCAGGACGACGCGGTTCCGAAGAGATTCGGGAGTGTACTAATACCACGAGGTATTGCAGAGAAATATCTGTCTGCTCTTCCGATGCCTTCGCTGCGGGTGGTTGAGCCTGCTAATAACGGTCGGTGAGGATTAAAACTCAGGTAGCAGATTTTGCGTAAACACGCGTCGACACTTTAATACTGGAACAAGTGGACGGACAATGGATATCCTCGAAGAGGACTGAGCGACAGAGGGTTTATTACGGATGCGACAAGTGTCGCATTATGATTACATAATTCGTTATGAACCGTCGTCGAAATCGAAAAGTTCAGATTTGATTTCAGACGCCACCGGCATTCAAGCCCGGAGTTATTTGCTTACAGTGCGGTAATCAGACGCGATTTTGAAGGGCAAATAAATAGTCGTAATTCGTAATGGAAATTTTTTACATTAAAAATGTAAAGCGCAAAATGATCGCCGCTTATGCAAAGTGTTGAAAATCCATCGATAAGAATTTACAATTGAACAATAGTTCAATGATGATCGTAATAATTAAAAAAGTAATCATTAAAAATCTGAAGTTAATTCTGTGATGAAATACGCGGACCGTCGGATGTATCGTGATACAGTGATTGTGAGGACACAAAATATAAATATCAAACTGTCATATTTATAATAGAATTGTAAATTTCTTTGAAAAACTAAAACTTGCAATTAGCGCGATTTTCAATTTTCTTTGCAAAAATGGCGCTTTACTGAAGAAGACTTTAATGAATGGAAATGAACTCGGTATCGATATGAATGAAACGCGCGTGATTAAACAACCGTCGCGTCGATTCGAGCGTGCGAGCAACGGATGCTTACTTTCGTCATCAGTTATTCATCCGGCTGATCTATAAAACAACGATACTATCCTAATCTGCTGAATGGTGAGAAAGTATATATCTTGCTCGAACGTTTGCTGTTATCTCAGAGACACACGTTTCAAGATAAAAAGCTTTGCGATATAAAGTCTTGAAGTGGCAATATATTAATAAACATCCGTAGAATATAAAATTGCCGAAGACACCAGTGATTTCTTGGAACTTAATTGAAATGCATATAAGAGATGTGATTAATTGAAATGGATAAATTGCGCAGCAAATCATTTATCCATCTTTTATATGAGATTTGAGTAAAAATCTGCGTTTCAATTTACGCTTTAGAACGAGTAATTGAATGAGCTTAAAGCCTTGAATCGCGGAACAATCTCGCAAGTTTTCGAATATTTCTTTTGCGTTCGGAGCCGGCGAATGAGCTTGGAATTCTATTTTCTGTCCGGCACCTCGGTTCATGAGAGCCACGCAGCCACCAGCCAAGAATGTCAGACAGTTCTGATCAGCTGTCATCGCCGAACAGCGATTGCAACAGCCAAATGGGCGTCGTGCATCGCATTGCTTCCACGCCTTATGGAAATACAACGTCCATGTCCGCGCTGACCCATCATCCGCAGAACCTGACGCCGACGTCGAACGGCAGCCCCCAGTATTCGCAGGAGTTGTCCACCTACAGCTCGACCAGCGTGAGCCCCAACATCGGTAACATCGGCGGCCTCTCTCTCGGCGGTAGCAGTAGCAATTTCACTCCCGAACAGATAGCCTGCATGTGCGAAGCGCTGTCCCAAAGCCAGGACATCGACAAGCTGTCAACGTAACTAGACAACATAATTTGGTTTTGTACTTGTTCGATAAACTATATTTGTTTTCTTTAAATATTGGTTTAGAAATGCCGAAATATTTCAACTATTTTTTCTCTCTTTTTTTTTTTTTTTACAAAAAATTCCAAAATCAGAAAATTATTAACTTTTTAAATATTACTATTAATTTTTTTAAATAGAAACTTTTGCGAAAATTTATTAATTATTTGTTGAAAATAACGTGCCATGCATGTTTATTATCTATATTTATGTAATAAAAAATTATTATATACATTTGGTGTACATATTGTGAAAATTTTTGTAATTATTTCATGGGTTATCCAGCTATGAATTTCTTTGGGTAAAACAATCCCGTACATCAAATGTATCAATTACCAACATAACTGATTAAAAGGGAAGGCAAATTGTTAAAAGGAAAATTCTACTTGCATCAGATTCCTTTGGTCCTTGCCGCCTGGAGAATTGCTTCGAGGAGGAGAGAGTGTGCTAATGGCGCGTGCCCACGTAGCCTTTCACCGTGGAGCCTACCACGAACTCTACACAATCCTAGAAAGTCATCCTTTTTCACCACGACGTCACCCTGAACTTCAACAAATGTGGTTCAAGTCACATTATCGTGAGGCTGAAAAGATCCGAGGTCGACCGCTAGGGGCCGTTGACAAATATCGACTGCGGAAAAAGTACCCTCTGCCGAAAACGATCTGGGACGGCGAGGAAACCGTTTACTGCTTCAAGGAGCGATCGAGGAATGCTCTGAAAGAGTGCTACATGAGAAACCGATACCCCACGCCGGACGAGAAGAAGAATCTTGCGAAGAAGACCGGCCTGACGCTGACTCAAGTGTCCAATTGGTTCAAGAATCGCCGGCAGCGAGATCGCACACCGCAAACGAGAACGTGAGTCCTGAACAACTTTTTTATCTTACTTATTTTATGAACGTTCTGTAAATAAATTCTGTAAGAACGGCGGAAATTAAAATGCGACGACTTACATTTTTTTTAATTTATGCGACTATACTATTCAATCTAGGCTTTTTAAAAAAATGTATAGAGTAATTAAAAAAATTAATTGACCTCATTCAGATTAGACGTTGTTTTGTACATATAAATTATTCGAAACTAAAGCTTCGGTAGCAATATTTTTACCAGGATAGTCTGATTGATATGTCTTCACTTAAAAGTATAATTTTACGAAACAAAACTGTCGAGTAGTATTTATCAGGTATAAATGTTAGAAAAGCAAGGTTTTTTGTGATCATTATATTTTATATGCCATTGTTTAGTATACCTTTTACCTTTTCTTATTTCTTTGAAATCGGCCAGACGATATGCATATTTTACTAATGACAGGATATGTGGACTTTTCTTAAGTTCCTTTCATATGACAAGTGTCAAATTTTTCAAAAATGACTTACAAATGGCCGGACATACTAAATCATCTTTTAATACCTGCTTCTTACAGAGATTCTTTGAAAGTATTTTGAAACTATTTTGAAACTACTTTGAAACTATCTGGGAAACTGTGAAGGAATTTTCTAGAGCAGCTTTTATTTCAAATCTCAGAACATAACGATAACATTTAACAGAGGAGTAAATTATGAGGATTGATAATCATAAAAATGCAATTTTGGAAAAATTGCAAAATTGTTGATGCTGCAAACAATGCATTATAAGTAATTTACAAATCAAGTCGAGAGAAAATATTAAGAGTATGTAATAATTTCCATTGTTTTTAAGGCAATTTTCTCGAGTAATATCTTATAAATAACACAATATTTTAGTCAAATACTTTTCGGCACTATCCCTTTTTATTATCTTTCAGATAAAAGATAAATATTGCGATAAAAGAAATCTTTGTTTTGGAGCGATCTATTTGTACCTGAGCGATAGTTCTTTTACATATCCTTAACTCTATGACGTTTTTCAAAGAATCGTATTGAATCCTACATTTGAGGAACACAAAGCGACGTCTCTTCCTCAGTGCTCAAGTTAAATTATTTAACTTCATGCACAGATTCTTACGTCCTGCATCTCATAGGAAAATATTTACGCAGACTCGAGACGATAACCGAGCGATGATATAATCGTAAGATATTCTCCGGAGACTCGATGTTGTTCGGTTCTCTCCTTCGCTGACGTGATTATCTAATCCGCGAGCTTATCTAATTAATGTCTACGCCGTGTTGAGGCCCTTTGTGACGATTATGAGCGGGGGATAAGCTCCTGCGTGACACCGGGAATTGTTATGTTACGCGCGCGGTTCATTGGTAAACGATACACCCTCGAGAGGGAAAAGCGGCGAGCGAGACGCAGAAAAAGAAACGCAGACGGAGTCACGCTTAGATAATGCCGGACGCGTGTTCAGCCGTTTATTGACATAACAGGGGCCGCAAATTGCGATAAGATCGGGCAGCGTAGACTTAATCTTCCGATCGAGACACGCAAGATCGAGAACGGAATTCTCGGAGCAGTGTACGGAATCCGTCGGTCTGAGACAAATTTGTTTATTCAACAGCATGCGTAATATTAACTCTTAATGTATAATTATAATATATATGTTAAATTGGACTATTTCTCTTCTGTATAGCTGTGACATAATTAGTGTAATTAGGAAAGTCACAAAAACTGAGAAGTTTCTTATTTATAAAAGAATATACGCTTTTATATGATCGCGGTTGTTAATATAATTTTCTTTTTTTTTTAATAAAATTTTAATTAGTATTTTTTAGAAGTATTTTTATTTGTATATTGAGTTGAGTGCCAAAAGTGTCATAGAATTTTTCGATAAAAATTTCTTTCCGATCAAGTCAATACATACATATTCGTGTAGAAGTTATTGCCATTTGCTTTTGCATTTCGGGAATGTTAGAAGTTTGAATTTTTGGTTCAGAGCTCACATAGCCCGAAATGCGAAATTGGTTTAGACTACTTAAAATTGATTTGTACTACTTAAAACTTCATATTGTTTGAAATTGATTTATACTCCTTGAGAATCAATAATCCAAAGTATTTAAGTATATACATCTCTCTGTCGAGCATTTTCAACGAGAAGGACAAAATTTTCGCGGCTCCTCGTGGGTCCGTCAAGACGGGGAGGCCCAACAGCGAGCGAGCCGTGACCGCGGCACCACGTAGCCATAACAATGCTACGTTCGCTCTACGGTCCGTTCCTTTCTTCACGCGCACGCACGAGCCGCGTTATAACATACCGCCTGAAATTTACGCGAGCACGCACACTACGCCCCATGCGTGCACAAGGGATACCTGCGTATATACATGGCGTCAGCCATCGCTCCCGTCGAGAGAAATTTGGCTGACCACCGCACTGATCGACATAGCTACTCTTTGTCACTTGTGTCTCAATTTTTTCCACACTGAATCAACTTTCTGTAATCTAAGCGAACTTTTTAATTAAAAAAAAAACAATTTAGATTTTTACAAATGTTTTTAAAAATAAATCTCTTATATTTCGCAAGAGACAACATAAATTTCTGTTTAGGGTGAAAATGTATACAATTAGAGATAAAGATTAATTTCTCGTCGAAATCATTTCTTCAGATAACATTTTACGTGTTTAAATCTGTCCATGGAGAAATCTTGTGCAGAAGATTTTCCAAGAAACAAATTCTATTAACTCAGAAGAAACTTTAAAAGCTAATTGAAGCGAGTTTTATAAGGGCGCGACTTTATTCACTTCTCGTACTGAATGAATTTTTTAATTCAAACGAGATCATCCATCAAAAAGCGTCTTACAACATTCAAGCGTCTTCGCCTTTCCCCCCGCTTTCGTAAAAACAATTCTTTTCTTGGAGACAGAGGACCAAGTCCTCCCTTTTTCCGTCCTTAACGTCCTCTCGCCTCGTCGCCGAATGCTCTAGGAAAAGGAAACGCGACGCCCCATTACCGTTTTATGACGCAGCTTCGGTTACATCTCGCGTTTCACCATTGAGCTGTTCGCACTACCAATAGTTTACTACATAAAGGCCATGGCCGGCCCTCTGCCGCTACCTCGATTTATCTTTACGTATGCCGTACAAGAACGAGGACGCACTTTCTTCCTCGTTAAGTCGAGAAACACCGGTCGCTAACCAAGAGCGGTGCGAACACCGCGATTCTCACTTGCATCGCGACTTTTGCTCCAACATCCGATAATTTTCAAGTATTACTGCCAAATCTCCATATCGATTTCTAACTGGCCTTTTAAGTCTTAAATCGTGTCTATCGGAGAGCTTGCAGATTTTTCGATTAATCTTTTATATTTATGTCAATAAAAAATTAATATTCCCCCAGATTTTAACGCGTCCTAAACTTCTTTCCATCTTTCACCCGCGAACCGCACTCCCATTCGCTGGAAGGGGAGAAAGGGACGCGTAGGGCGTTCTTCAAATCTAGACCTTGAAGCGCGACCATAAAAAAATGTGCGACCCCGACGCGATGGTGAGTATCATGCAGCAGGCAAACCATGGTCATGGGCGGAGTCGCCGCACATGGACCACCGTGAGACGCACGCATACACGCAAGCGCGCGAATATGTGAGCACGCGGCTTTCGCGGTTGTTCCACAGCGAGAACGCATAGAATGATGCTGGACGGAATAAGGTGGGTGTCCATGAGCTCGTCGTCGTCGTCGTCGTCGTCGTCGTCTTCGATGACATTTTCGTGCCTTTCGTTCCAGTTCGCTCGTTTATAGCGGAAATTCTCGGAACCGCACACATGTGTGATGTGTGCGTATACAGCATACTTTATTATGCTCGTTCAGTTTGTATATTTAACTACTATAGGAAGTTGAATTTTTCTTCTAATAAATATTTTTAAAATAATCTTTTGGTTTTGAAAAGCTTTTGAAATAACAATGAAATACAGATGCAAAGAATATACTCGTAGAAAAAAAACATTTTCAGATATAATTGATGAGATTTGTAAACTTAAAATTTTTTTTTGCTGTCTTTATTCTCCAGTGAAATATCTTTTTTGGCTTAAAATAACTATAGTAAGTAATTAACAGTTCTGTTATAATGTTTTTCTTTCAAACAACATCCATTGTGTAGGATGTGTTATGACTTTTCCTACGATTTATAACGGTCAGTTTGAAAAACTCTTTAAACCTTTAATTAGAAAGTTTTACTATAACAATTTGGGAAGATATTATGAATATATACTTGTAAATTTAGTCAAATATATCTATAATTAAATTATATATAGATTTAAATATCAATTTGGCATTAATCGCTTGCATTTTCATAATTTTATACGACGTTGATCGTTATTTATTTTTTCAAGCTATATAATATCTAATTGTCAATATGGCAGCGCTGTCAGAGCGATCATTCACGGCGTACAGTCAGAGAATAGCCGCCGAATGATTCCCTTGCTCCGTATAAACTCTTATTATACAAACAATTATTATATCTGTGCGAGAGAGACGCGTCTCGTGCAAGAGAAATTATAAAATAATGTTCGATTTGAATTTACGTATTACAAACATTACACTTTTATATCGTTGCATTTATTTTGTTTGTTAAATAAAGGTATTAATTAATAAGGTAATAATTTATTTATTCAATTTTTAAACAGTTAGAATATAATCATTTACGAAAAGAGAGTGTTCTTTTCATAGCATTTTTTTAATACCACAAAATCTACATATTTATAGGGACATGTTATTATATCTGTGCGAGAGAGACGCGTCTCGTACAAGAAAATTATAAAATAATGTTCGATTTGAATTTACGTATTACAAACATTACACTTTTATATCGTTGCATTTATTTTGTTTGTTAAATAAAGGTATTAATTAATAAGATAATAATTTATTTATTCAATTTTTAAACAGCTATGTAGAATATAATGATTTATGAAAAGTGTTCTTTTCATAGCATTTCTTTAATGCCACAAAATCTATATATTTATAGGGATATGTTACCGCTGAATTGTCAAAGCGCGACCAACAGCACTATAAGTAGCTCGGTCAGCAACGGTGGCAGCATCCAGTCTTTGCAGAGCATCGATTCCGATAGTCCGAATCTCGCAATGTCACCTTTGTCGACTATGGGGATGTCACCGGTCGCTATGAATCCGTGCAGTCCAATGGGCATGAGTCCAATGGGGCCTCATCACGGTTATGCAACCCCCGTCACCCCGTCGTCCGTTCACACCGCACATCCCCATAATGGCGGACTGAGCCCCATGAACGATGTTAAAGCTCTCTGCTACGGCCGCAGCGTGTACGATACTGGTAAGCATTCTAAGAATATTATCACGAAATGAGAATTTATATAGAAATTCGTGTACATATTTACTTTTCAATTCAATCTTATGTAACCAACGTCACTTATTTAATTTCTTTAATATCCATTTAATAACTGTTTCCCGATTTTTAGTTCTTCAATTCTATTTCTTTTATAACAATAAAAGAATCCAGAATCAAATTACATCATTCTATTATTCTCATTTCCAATATTCTGAATTTGAGGAAAAGACGTGGAACAGAGCTCGGTCTACTACTCCAGCCACTCTAGCATGCACCATCAGTATTATCAGCAGACTCATCATCAAATGATGTCAAGCTCCCATCATCATCACCATCATCATCAACAAAGCGTGCCGACTGGTTACGAGATTATGCTACCGCCGCCTCAGCATTCTATGTGACTAACGGACTACGAGGGTGACCGAAGTGATCAAGCTCACCATAGTCAGAGCGACGACGTGCTCGCACGTGTACACGCCTTTGCCTGATCTTTTGGCTTCTCTCTTCGTCTCAGCTCGAGTCATACGCAATAAAGAACGATAGCTTTGTGTAGATATATAAAACAGTTATTTCCGAAAATCTTTTCTTGAAATTCCTAAAACAATGTTCACCGATATAAAAATCACGAAAAGATATCGAATATTTTCTATACGCATTATGCGAATGTACAATTTGTTATGATGATTTTTACGTAGACACATATGTCTTTTGGGTTCTGTAATTTTATTACTTGGGAATTGATTGTTAATTTAGAGAATCGATTTCGGAAGATGCACGGTGACTTTTCAATTCTTCTATTTTTTCATTTTTTTAAATTTATAAGTGTATTGATAGTAGAACAGGATGAGAAAAAAATAGGGAATTTAGTTAAAATATCATATAAAAAATCTAATATTTGCAAATCAAGAATATTATTCTATTATTTTGATTTTTTTTTCTATTTAATGCATTAGACTTTTTAATTAAGACTTTCTAAATGCAAGACATATTTTTAAACATAAATGTATAACTGTTGTATATTGAATTGTAATTATAAAATTTATCTGTAAAGTGAAATATAAATTGATGTTTAAATTAATCTGTTGCTGTTCTCCACTTTTAACATTAACTTTAAATATCTTTTCAAATGAAAATTACCGTGCACCCATTTCAGACACAATTATGTTATATGTACAAATTCATGCGTGCAACCAAATATTATGTCACAAAGCTATGCTACAGACTCGCCTTGACCAATAAGAAGGGAGAAAATTTTCAAAAGACTTGGGAGGAGCTAAAAAACTAGTTTTGCTTCACCACCCTTCTTCAAGTATTCCATATGCAAATGGTTTCAGCTGTCGAAACTTTTCTCAGAGATATGCAAATATTACTTGTTCATATATTCATATTCAGATATAATTTGTAGTCTCGCCAAATATTTGTGGTTTAAAAAGTAGAGTTGATTTTTAAATGCTTGCGAATCCAAAGATTTAGTAGTTAAAATTAGTAAAGTTTATATTTTTTCCTCGCATCAGCGAGAATTAATCATTCTCTGTTTCGTGCACTCGTTCATCGAAATTGTATAATAATTAAATCATCGTGAAACCAATGCCAAATTTCGAAGATTAAGTGCTGTATCACGAAAAGAAAGTTATTTCTACTGAAATGATTTAGAAGACGGCGGTGTTATGTACGAAGAATGTCCGTATGTATAAGAAAGTGTATGTATAAGAAAGATGTTCATTTTGTCGGGTGTACGATATATTTTCGGCGTTGTGTATAATGTTGATGTATTATATACTATTACAAGTTGTTGCGTGCGGAAATCGCGGAATTCATTCATGACGAAGTTTCTGACGAATTATGCCAAGAGAGGTGATAGAGCGAAAGCAATTAGCGCGTAGCACAGCTAAGGCCGATGGTACACAGAAAAACGTAAGCAGTAAACAAACTAGCCAATCACAGTCGAATTTTCTTAAGAACACTTGACTTTAACTGATCAATTCGCTTACTGTTTACATAGAAAGAACATTTTTGCTGAAATATCTAAAAATTTGCCAGATACGGATCCGAAAATAATTTTGTTGGACAATCAAAATTTATCAATGGAGCTCGAACTTTTTGATGCGATATGACCTCATTTTGTTTCATCTATCAACTAGATTGAGTACTTTATTGATAAATTTTGATTGTCCAACAAAATTATTTTCAGATCTGTATCTGGCATAATTTTTAAATGTTTCAGCAAGAACGTTCTTTCCGTGTAAGGTCGGTATTCATAGTCCGTTCTTATATTCAAGATCGTCTTAAGCACGAACTTATATTCGCTCTCTTCGTCAGACACAATCTATGTGTGACGAAGAGAGCAAATATAAGTCCGTGCTTAAGACGATTTTGAATATAAGAACGGACTATGAATACCGCCCTAAGTCTTGCGTTCTTTTATGTTCCATGGCTCGAAGAGAAATTGTGCTGCCTATCTTTCTTTTTTAATTGTATATAGACAAGAGATATATGATATTATACGAATTATGTATGTAATGTATATAATACCAAGAAATAACAGTGTATAACAAATAATGGTTTTTAATAAATAGACATTAAGTAGTACCTGTTCACGCATGGAACCGCGCTCTGCTTCTTTCCTATTTTATCTTGTAAGAAATGCAGCATTGGTTATCAATTTATATCGCAAATGTTTTACATAAAGTGAATTATATATTTTGTTCCAAACATTATGCATTTTTTTTTCGACTTCAAATTTCTCAAGCAATTAAGTATATTCTTTTCTGAGCTACGTTTTTTCAAATTATTTTACAAATATTGCGATTTGTACAATATTAACGTAAAACATTGTTGATATTGACGTCAAAAATTGACAATTCCAGTTAAAAAATATTATAACTTTAAAATTTTACATGAGTCTTTCATTGTCTAAACAACATGCAAATCTTAAAAACATCTGAAAAATACCCAAGAAACATCAGAAAAAATATAATTTTTTGGACGTCTTTCAGACGTCTAAGATTTGCGTGTGTCTGGATGGACTCCATTTTTATGCGTACTAGTTTAACTATCTGTAATTTCGCTAATTCTTCGAATTTTAATTTGAAATTTTAGGGGTATATTTTTAAGATTTTAAGCTTTAAAATTATGCTAAAAAGGTTCATTTTTTATGTTATATAATAAACAGTTTGTTTCAATACCGACAGTTCTGTTTATGTTTTGTGAATATCAAAAGGATTTCGGGAGCTCGGAAACACCTACTGAATTGCAGTTTTACACATATACAGCAGTTGATAACTCAATTTTAGCAAGTGATGAGACGATTCAAGCAATCGCTAGATAACGTTAGTAGTATCTATCTGTATTTAAATAAAATATTCAAAAAGAAGAAACAAATATTTTTATATATTTATTAAACATTGTTAAATTTCAATGTTATCTGATCAATTTTTATTTCAACATTCCTGTTTTTAAAATAAATGTATGGTAATTTTTAATGAATTACAAATGCATAAATAAAAAAAAATACATTCGATATGAAGAAAGCCGTATATTTATTTCCAATAATAATACGGTAACGTATACATAACTTTGATATATTTGCAAAAGAAATATACGCAAAAGAAAACAGAATAAAAATAACGAAAGCTTCATATCTTGCATCGAATTTCTGATTACAACATCACATATCAACAATTTTATTTAATCTCGGTTTATTTAACATACAAGAGCTATTTTTCAACATTGCGCATCCAGTATGTATAGCTGTACGTATATGTTATAAGTAAACTAAGTTACACTGATATGATCACGTTACAGGGAATTTGTACAAAGAGCGCACAAGTACAATACTACTCGATTTGTTTGTAACTGCATTCAAAAACCGGTCATAACGTTCGATCCAAAAAACTGTAAATCTCTTCACCTATTCTCTATAATATCTCGATAATGATTCCGGTGTCCTCCTGTATATACACAGACAACGAAAAAGTGTACACGAGTAGCATGATTTTATTTTCTATAAGAACTTCTTGATTTTTAGGTTACATGTATTTTGAATAAGAATATATTCAAGAATAAATATCGTTAAAAATTAATCGCCGCAATCTGAAATATTTAATGTTATAAAACTATAACATAAAGTCTTAGATTTGTGTTTAAGATAGATAAGAAAAATAAAGCTTTAAATTTTTGCTCAGATAAGCTCCAGATTGATGAGCGAATATATTATGTTTACTGAAATATAATTAAATACATTTGTATCTTAAGGATTACTCTGTACATCCTTTTCGGAACACCCTATACATTAGGCTCTGCTTTCTTGATGTGAATAATTGGGGGATATCTAGCGCGGGATATAAAATATGTTCCCATCGTACACTCGGTGTGATGTCTTAAGTTACAAATTCTCTATAAATACGACGTACTTCAATCTTTTTAAGGGATACTTTGCTTCTCCCCAGTGATACAAATTACGTTTGTAATTTTATCTCGTTTAAACGCCAGATCTAATGTCGATGGAATCGATTGACGTCAACCGTGACATTTGTGTTCCCTCCTAATTTCTCACCGCAAACGAGCGTGATTTGCCTCGTTTTTTTGCAGACGAGCCCGACAAAAAAAAAACAAGCCAGCTAATCCGTTCTCTCTTTTCCAGCACGATTGAACGGCGCAATTCGCCGCTTTCCCAAAAGGGACAAAATGCGAAGTCAGGGATAAATCGAATACGCTGGACCGGCATCGCAACAGTGGATCGCAAATCCTGTGGGCGTTATACGTTACAAAGTTTCTCAAGAAGATCACAAAATTTCTTATTTTTGCAAAGCGCGCAGACGGATGTCCAATTCCCGTTTATCACAAATTTTATTGTATGCATCGTCCGCTGTGAATTGGGTTCGCCGCCAAGGACCGACCGTTCGTATATGCGTGTGTGCTAAATTATTCTTACTATCGTTATCATTAATTGTTATTGTTACTGCCGACGTTTTTTTTATTATTATTGTTAACGCGAACATCCTGCGTACGATAACAATGAAAGAAATCATTCTTACCATTATATATCGCTATCCGGATCTGCCTCGTCGATATACTACGTACATATTGTCTCCGAAATACATATACACGTGCGAAATACAGCCTGCGGTTTATAGATAATAAACGTATGGTATGCGCGCACGCGTTTGCACGATTACACGTGTTATGTATAAATAAGTCTAATATAGGCTATACGGTTACATACGAGATATATAAGACAAGTCACATTGAAAAAATATATGTATGTGTTTTAATTAGGGAGGAAGAAGACGAACTACGTGCATACGTGTAAGCACATGGATATGTATGGTTCATTGGCGGAGAGTCGGCAGTTCGGCTGCGCAAAGACATCGTTCGAAATAACTTCTCTCGTTCGATGTAGCTCGCAAATTTCAATCATATTTATTTTCACCTCTTTTTCTACTTTCATCAATCTGATTACATCATTGTCGTTCATTATTATATCTCCTCATTTTACTCATGATTCTTAATTTTTACTCTTCTTCATCTCAACTCACATTTCACAACCGCGTTGTGTGCTCATTGTGCTCATTGTGTCGCATCATTGTTGCCGCAAACTCCACCGCAATATGAAATATGTACGAACAAGAGAAGTGCGCCTATCTAAGCGTGCTGTTAGTTAGGATCCGAAAATAACTCGGGTTCTGTTCCCGAGAAGCCGCCGGAGAACAAACTTCCAGGCGTGTATGTACAAGCAACCGAGAAGTTACGGAACGTAATCGTGTATTATGTAACGCTATCGTGATCCGCACACCGGGGTATCTGCTGCTCGCATTGCGCAGAGCGCAAATTTTAAAATCGATCGTAGCGCGACAGAGTTTCGAAGAAACTCTCGCATCGTTTCAGTTTCGTCTTAATCTAAACTTTTACGGTATATGTACATGTATTTTTCCTTTCTCCCTTTGCATGGCGCGGCCGTAGGATGCGGCGACTTTATTCCGCGATAACACAATTAGGAATTCTGTTCGAATATAAATATTACGTTAATTCACTCAACGAGAGTTGAGCACGAAGATATTATATTAATAATAAAAGATAAAACATAGGAACAGTCTAATAACACAGTTGTTAACAGCTAGCCTACGATTAAGTCTATAAACTTGTTCTCACAAATTAACCGCGACGAAGCGGTTAAGTAAATCTTAGATAAATTAAGAATTAATACCGAAGAAAAGCAAAAATATACATTGTAATGTATGGAAAACGAAATAACGTGCGATAAATCAATTTTCCAATTATAATATAAATTTTCAATAATAATAATAAGAATATAAATAATAGAAAAATATCCTTTATCTTGAAAAAACATTCGACGATCGCTTCGAATTAATGCGAACTTGATATTCGCATGCGAAAAAAAATGAATACTTTTTGTTTTATATAAACGCTTAATACAACACGAGATAATAATGATGGTCCAGAGATCAAGGGAACTAATACTACGGTGAAGACCTGTCTCTTTTATGATTTTCCATTTAAGTTAGAGTTCTACGATGGGTTAACATTAATACATTTATACCTATATATTAATTAACCGTAATTACGCTACGTTTTTAATTATATTATAATTTACAGGTTACACGGGTGTGTCATATTAAGTTAAAGATTTTCAAGAGGGCTCGGCAATCATGTTATGAGTTTGGTGCGAATCGGCGCTTTTCTCTTTCTCACTGTCTGTCTTTCTCTTTCTCTCTTTCACAACACTCACTGCCGCTTACAGATAATACTGAATCTACGTAAAGTATTTTCAGCCGGACCCAAAGAGAGACTTTATTACACAAATCGTGCGCAGCATTCAGTTCTACACTCCTGCCAGTATTCGCTTTAACTTTGAACTAGCGAGATGTTAATAGCAGTTTTACGCGCATCTGTCTCAATGTATAGACGAGCTGTACAGCATCCACTGTTATTAACTCTTAAAGATGTCTCTTCTTTTATTCACAATGCAAATAGGAATAATTCAGTCAATCCGTAAAACTCTACAAAGATTTATGAAAAACTTTTATAATTTCTTAAAAGATCTTGAACGTATTTTTGTCGTAAATTAAATAAGGTTTAATTGAATTGCGAATCAAATAGAATATGGATACGAACATCGTTGTGTTTTCATACTGCAAACAATAAACTGCGATTTACAAATAAAAGATCCACCGTTTAAGAGTCAATATCGATAATCGTGGACGTGATGTAAGGTCCGAGTCGCGCCGGGTCTTCGGCGATCGCGTATAAAATAGATTTGGCGAATTATATGTTTCTGAACATTGTTCGCCGGTAATTCGCGCGCTCTCTTTGGGAATCAATAACAGTCTTTTACAAAGGTACAATTTTCTCGTTTCGATGCACCGGAGTGTCGTACACGGGCACACACTTGTAATATTGCGGTGGATACGACGCGTATGCTGCTTCCGAGGGTGACAGACGGCCACGGAATCGGTTGCGCACGATGTGGATTATCAGCAACAGGCACAACAGCGCGAGTACGACGATTAACGTAATCGGCACGGTGCCCCAGCCCCGGCTGGTGGTCTGGTTAACCGCCTCGTTCTCCTTGTTGACCTGAAACAAAGTGATAACAGCGATTTTTAGATCGTTTCAATAGAATTCTACCTGTTGAATTCAAACTATTTTTTTATCTATCAGAACATAATCTTGCGCGTACTCTACACGTGCCTACCAAATTTTATAGTGTAACATTCCAACGCTTAAAATTGAATAAAATGTACATTTTAACATTCTGGACCGCGTTTCTTCTTTTTTAAGTATAAGATTTCAATGCATTGTAGTAAGGAAAATTCTAAAATCGAGCCCCTCCCCTCTCTCTCTCTCTAGCAAATGTTATGATATAAAATTCTGAAAAATAAAAATGAATAAAAGATATAGTTTAGCATTCTTTGTTTAAAATATAAAATTTCAATGCATTATAGTAAAGAAAATATAAATTCTAAACTGCTAGGTCTACAAATTTTTCTAAGATTTTAGTGGCTAATAATGAATAAAATGTACATTTTAATATTCTAAGATCATTTCTAAAATTCTACACCTACCAAATGTCACCCTCGTTTGCTATACATCAAAATCTGAAAAAAGTCAGCGACATAAGACATACCGTGATCGGGCACACGGGGCAACAAGTGCCTGATTTCGGTGGCAATGGATTATTGCAGGCCACCGAGCAGATAGTTTCTTTGCAATTAAGCCGTCCGCCAGGCTCGCACGTACACGTGGTGCAGCTGTTTGGATACCAAGTCGATCCCTCCGGATGCGTCTCGTTCAAATGGTCCATGCACGAAGCTCGACAGCGGCATACCTTCAAAAGAAAATCACAGATGCATGTCCTAAGTTTTTAATATCCATACGACACAAATATGCAAAACTTCTCAAATAAAATGCAGATGAATCGCCGTCTCCTTTATTTTTTGCATGCAGAAAAAGAACAAATAATTCCTTATCTTTTACTCCAGTTACTTTTATTCTACCCCATTTGCATTTTTTTCTTCTCATCTTCTATTCTATACACTCGGCGCGCGCTGGTACGTGAATTTAAACGTTGTACTCACGGAGCAGCCGCGCTTGTTCGTTTTGTAACCGAAGCTGCATCTCTTTCTGCATCCGAGGAGCGGCGGGCAGCTGGCGGTGGGCGGCTTGCACTCGCAGAACGTGCAATCGTTCTCGTCCATGACGAGGCCTCGTTCGCAGTGTAGGTCGCATTTCACCTCGGGACAGATCCTCTTGTCGTTCGTCGTGTCCAAGGCGGTGTCGTTCGGCGACGGGTAGCGCGGCGGCGTCTGACAGGCGCACACCGAGCAGCCGTCCTCGTCCTTGACGAGGTCGCCGCAGTTGAGCCCACAATGCGATAGTTCCGGGCAAACTTTGTAATCCTCCGGCAGCACATCCGGCACGAGGTCGACCTCCTGCAGCAGACGAGAGTCGTCAGTTTCACCGGAAGAGAAAAGCCGGCGGCGGCGGCGGCGGCGGCACCGCCGAGCGGAGAGACCGTCGGAATTCCTCTTATCCGAGAACTTGGCGCGATAATTCCGAGAAGAAATCTCCTCCAGCTGCGGGTACGCTTTCAGAGATAAGGGGAAACTGTGTCTCTCTCTCTTCTAGATAGGTCACGACTGGAAATCCGCGCGGCATAATGCTACGGACGGCTGCACTTAACTAAGGTTGATAGCGTACGTTTTGCGGCCGTCGCTCGAAGAGATACTGCGAGAGACGACGCGCTGCACTGTCATTGCAGGCAATCGTCAGTTAGAACGGAACACTTCTTGTCATCGCCGCGTGTTCGAAACTGTTCTATTATCGCGTTTATATCGTGAAACGTTACATATTGTAATATCTACATGGAACATACGCGTTATTAATTCGAAATTCGTTCAGATAAAAATGCTGATTATATGAAGCGCGCGTTAGTGCAGCCGTGACGTCACTTTCCTTTATCTTATTATTATTACGTTATTTTGCTTTTTATTCATTATACGTGCGGCGTTAAATAAAATGTAATCTCAAAATCGTCTACGATTCTTCTACATTCTCTTACCAAATCGTCAGCGCACTCGCAGATCGGACAATTATTCTTGTCGGTGCGGAAGCCGTGGTAACACTTCATTTTGCAATCGTCCAAGGGCTTGCAGGACTCGTCCGGGCGGTGATCAAAGGTGCTGTTCGTCGGGAACGGGCAATGGGGACAGCATTCGCCGGGGTCGGGCGGTATCGCGTTCTCGCAAGACTTGCACATAGTCATTTGGCAGGATGCGATTCCATCCTCCTTGCAGGCGCAAGTGATGCAGTCGCCCTGTTTCCACTCCTCGCCGAGTTTCCTCGAGACGTTCTCGTGAATGCAGTTCTGCGGTTTCTCCTCGGGCTTCACCCAGGAGATCGGATCTGGAAAGGACGAATAAATGACGAATAAAGCGAGAGTTGAGTAAATTGCGATTAATGCTTTAATCCGTGTATAGTGGAATATATTTTATGTTTAAGCGATTAAAACGCGCATCAGTTGCTAATAAAATAGTTTACCGTGAAACAAAACAAAAAATTATATTGAAAAATACAATAATAATTGGTTATTGCTCTTCATTAATTAAATTAAAAATCGTTTTAATATATATAGCCAATAGAGCCAAGAGCTGGATCGATTTGCTCAAAAATTCCTTTTATTTATAAAATTCTACAGACGTTTCGGCCAAGGTACGTGGCCATCTTCAGTGTAATACAAATTTTAAAACTTAGTACATGATTAGCGAAGCTTTGGTACTATTTTTGACTAAGGAAACGCATCCTCTGATAAACGTGTAGTACAATGTGGTTAGTAAAGTTATATACGTGTGAAGCCACGGACCGTCTAACTTAACGGTTCGTCACTACTATGTAAAAGCAATTAAAACTGTGACATGTGTCCACGGACGTGAGTGGGACTCGACTATATTGAAAAAATTACAAAAAAGCAAGAAAAAAACCTTTGAAATCTTTTGGATCTTAAAGTTGGAAATTAATTTTATTTCAGCTAATTTTTTTTATCACATTGCAGAATTATTATATTGTTCAAATAGCGGATGTGAGAAATTCAAGCATATTTTTCTCGATAAAACTATCAAACCTCATTCTAATGTTATTCCTGATTATCCGTCCTTTAAGATAAAAAGTATAGAAAATATTTTCCGAAGACGGTTTATAAATAACTCACGGCATTACCGCCGGGAAGCGTCGCTAACCCAAATATGGTAGTTTTGCGAGCGAACGAGGAAAACTTGGGCGAGTGTGCCTCGGTGTTCCCGGAGTTTGTGAACTCTTGCATAAAATTGTTGCGACGGATTTTTCGACGTCGAGCAGGGGGAGAAGCCCGCTTGCTCGCAACCTCGTTTACCTCGAGAAAAATCGCGACCTCGCGCGAAGTGCAATCACGCTTTTAACGAGTCGCCCTCTTCAAGTCTTCGACGGACGAATTTCGTCTCATGCACAGACGACGACGGCGGAGAAACGGCGTATTATTAGTCAGACGGCCGTTAATTATGCATACAGGATTACGGGCGCGTATAATAACCCAGCCGCGCAATCCTCTTCGAACGATCAAGTCATTATTTGGCGATTTTCCGTGCGACGACAAGCCCTCGCACGGTAATCATCAAAGCGGCGGAAATTGCGGAATCTCATAAAGATTTGCAATCTCGCTTAATATTCATAGTCCTCTTAACGCGCGCACTGAGCCGCCTTACGTCTCTCAGTCGTTAATAACTCGCGAAAATCTGATTACCCGCGACATTATTTTGTTATACGGATGACCGGCGGGGATCGTATCGCCGCCGTTAAAGCCGTCGAGCGTTTTTCATGTAAAATCTCAAATTAAGCTTCCCGCGATGACTCCGCTATTCACCGGGCGCTCCATATCGCTTAGAGCGCTTTTATTTATGCGCTCTGCCTCCATCTCTTCCGGCTTTCCTCGCGCAGCCGAGTGTACGTGCGCGTGAAATTTACATGCCCAAGCGCACTTCAGCTGGATAGCAAACTCTTAAGCGCCGATCTTTTCTGCATGAGACAGCGCTATCCGCACGCTAGCTTTCTTTCCAGTCGCCACGTCGGCGCTGATGAAAAATTAATTTGTCGTCGAGACGAAAGTGATGCGTGCGCTGTGATCAAGCGCAAGTATAATTTCGCATACATAACGTTCATTCGATGCAGCATCAGTTGCCATCGGCAACTCGTTAGATTCACCGATCCGTTAATCGATGCGTTATTTTTTCGTCAGAAAAGTTTTTTTTCGCATTTTAATTGTCGAACTCGAATATCGTAAATACGCTCAAAGCATCGCCTCTCGACTTTCACCCGCGCGCTTGCGTCACCGCCTGAAAAATCCTTCAATTATTATCGCATCGCTGTAAGCGCCGACTCTGGCGCACGCTCTTTTGCATCACGAAAGAAACATGTGGGTTAGGCGGTCGGCCGGATGCGGGTGTGCACGATCCATCCACGGCGCCGTTTCATTTACGAGCGTTCATTCATAACGCCTCCCGAACTTTAAAGTGGCACATTCCTGTGAAAAATCGGCACAGTAACGCAGAAGCAAAAACAATTTTCGCGAGCCTCCGCCCGACACGCCGGGCGCTCATAGCTTCCATTATTTCCTTGTCGCGACACACGTATGTTTCGCGTTGAAAGGGAAAAAATTTGCACGAATTTTTTTCACCGGATAGAGGTCGACCGCCCGGTTGGCGGTCGGCGGTCCCACGCGTAATACGTTTTCCCGCCGTTTCACATGTGTAGCTTACCACCAGGAAAAAAAAAAAAAGCTAAACTCGTGAGCTTTTGTAAGAAATATGAAAGATTGTGGGTTCCTTTATATGCTCGAGGGTTTCCCTTTTTTTTTTTATTCCATTTCATTATTCGGGATGTTTCATTACTCTTTGTAATCCGCGCTGTAACCGGAGCGGTACGGAGGGGACGATATCGACGGCCCAAATTGAGGGCAATAAAAGCGCTTTGTAGAAAATATTAAAGGTATAATCTCGGCGGAGAGGAAGCGAAGAATGAAGATCCGAGAAGGCTCGGGAGGAAAGAAGGATGTGTTAAATAAAGGATCTACGGAGTGAAGAGCGAGCCCACATCGCAAAGTGTGAAAAATGAATGAATATTCTGGGAAAAAGAACAAATGTTCGAATAAAACCATGTAACATTTGCAGAGATGAAAGAATAATTACAACGAATCAATTGCAAATATCATTAGCAGTTTCAATTGGGACACCAAATCGGTCGTGAAGTAATTATTTTTGTAATTAACATGGTTAAATATATTCTTGTAGCAAAAGCAGAGAAACAGAGAGGAGGGGGGAGCATCTCTCTGTGCAATTTAATGTGGATGTATCGCTATTTGCCGCAGCACGATACTACGGTTTACGTCAATATTTATTATCGCGTGTACTTTTCGACGAAAGCGTATTAATTAAACGAGGCATCAACCGTGTACGCGTGACCGATAATGCGGACTACGGGCTAATGAATATTGTTAACAAGGTAGAACGCTGTTTAACTGTCGCGTAGCTGTTTAAACACCGTTTTGCGCGATACAGAAACCAAAGTGAATTTACCGTATGATGTAAAACGGTATTTAATTGCTGGGAATCTAATAGGCTGAAAGAGACGCACGATATTCGAGACCTATTTAATCGACCGAAATGCATGTAATATATTATATAATCAAATGTATGAAAATACATATTCTATTGTATACTAATGTATATTATTACGTGCGACATGTATTCTATATTAATACTCTATATAATATTTTACTTTATTCCTTATTACACAATGAAACATTTTAATTATTCTGTTCGTAAAAGCTGTCGCGTATTTTTTTTAAGTACGATACTGAAACGCGAAGAGCCGTCGCGGATCCTTTTCAAGTCCGAAAGTAGCGAATTACGCTGGGAGCGCAATCGAGCGAGATAAATCGATATCGTTTGAGAGAACCGAAAGGAGTAACCTCTTGTCCGCAATAATAATGTTTCTAGTGTAATGATTTGTAGCTGTCCATGGCGCGCTCGCGGTAGAAACGTTATTAAATTTTAAAACAGGCACGAAGGCGCTATTAAATTTCAACTGGGAGAAATGCGCGCGCGCACACACGTTTGCTCGCGATTTCGCGAGATAAGAATGACTTCATTAAAATTCAACAGGTAGATCGAAAGTTCTAGAAGCGAGGGCGGTGTAACTTTAAACGTCGTAACTTAAAAAACCGCCGCGCTCGCTGCACAGTGAAATATCGCATCTGAGCGTTATCTCTGCTTACAATCTGCGCGACTAGCATTTCTGATGCCGTTAGCCGCGCGGCAGCGGATTTTAGGACGAATTTTAGAAAACGGTGACCGCATCGGTATTTAAAGAGCTATTTAATTTTCACATAGTCTGTGAAAACGATGCGAAAACTCGCAAGAAATATTTGTATTTGTTATTCTAACATTTTCAGCTTAGAAGAGAAAGAATTCGCATCGTCGACTCGAAAGTCGCCCTTGACGACGATGTAGCAGCTTATTAAAAATTTCGAGAATTCCGAACAACGTTATTATAAATTTTCAAATAGCGTCTTCCTCTCGTCCCCGTCCTTCTTCCTCGCTTTTCTAAAAACGTCACTATTCTCGTCACACAATCAATAATTTCTCTTTCTTTTCTCCCTCGGTGACGTAATACGTTCGTACAGGAAACACATTGATTACGATCAAGCGGGAAGTCCTTCATGCCGATATCTGAAGTATATCGGGGCAACAAGCCCGGCGAACGAGAGGTTGCCTCGTCAGATTGCAATTCGAGCATCCGAAGGAGAGCGAGAGGCCGTATCGGCTTGCGAGGACGTGCGGGAGAAAGAGAGACGGAGCGAGAGAAAGAGAGAGGGGCGGAGCGGGGGAGAAGCGGGGTGGCAGATCCGAGATATCGATCCGATATACGGCGTATTCCGCGCGCCGTTGCTATCGCCTGACAGGAGCCAGCCTCGATTACGACCTTTCGTAATTACCTGAGGGCCTGCAGTCGTGGAGGGGGCAGCAGCTACCGGGTGTCTCGGGTTTGGCCGCCCGCACCTCGACCGGCCGTTGACCAGGTCGACACTTGGGCGGCGGACACGTCGGGACGCATTTGCAGACGCCATCGTCCGTCAGGACGCTGTCCTCGGGACAGGACGACTCGGCCACTCGATGGTGGTGACCTGCGGCAACCGATGCGATCGGAGACCGTGAGTGCGCGTTATCGACTCGTTAAAGCGGAGAAGATGCGAAAGGTAAACCCTGTTTTTTTTTTTTTTCGTTTTTGTTTTTTTTCCGTCCCTCGCTGCATTAATTTCCGCACAGCGGAACGAAACGTTTGTATTTCCAGCGATTTCGTCGCTCGCATTTCCAATATTTCACGTAGAATTTTATTTAATTTTGTAGGTTTTAAAATCAGCATTTCACTGATAACGGGACTCGATATTTCATATTAATCGAAAATTTATTTATTTATTTATCTTCAATAAAATAATGAACGTTATGAGCGCGCTTTTAAAATGCGCACAATGCTCGGCTGTTGAATATCAACATTATTATCGATCTGACATTTCGCGTATGCTGCGGCGCTTAATCGGAGGAGAAACACGGTAACACTCCGCCACCCTCGTATCACTTTTCCCGGTTACCGTAACAGCCCGATTTTCCACACGGCCATTTGTTACACTCGGCAAACACTATTTCCCGCCGCGAACACGGTCCACGTTTATGGATTCTATTACCTGAGGGTACGCAGTTGTAGCGCTGGCAGCATTTACCGGGGCTACCGGAAAACGACCCCTTCACCAGATCCGGCCGTTGACCCGGTCGACACTTGATGGGCGGACAATCCGCGCATTTGCAACCGCCGCTCTCGTTCGGCACGCTGTCCTGCGGGCAGCCGTCCGCTCCTTGAAACAGAAAAATCGCCAAGCGAGATTAACGTCGGCGCCAGAAATTCCCGGAGACGCTCGGCGATATGTCCGAACGAAGGATGACGCTGTTAAAGCGCACGAAAGATAGCACACCGCCGGGTGTTGGATATCCCCGGATTCTTCTTGAAACGCGCTGAAATTGCAGCGGACTATTCGCCGCGCTTTATTATCACTGGTGCTCGGCACCACTTTGCGCTGTTGCACAGAAAGTCCGAGAGAGAATTACCGCTGTTACTTTGATATGTTTATCGACCGATTTAGAGTAAATTTGTCGTCCAAGTTGCTGCACGATAATTCTTGGACATCTTGTATGCGCTGACGAACGGGTCTTAATCGCTTCGATAAAATATAATTAATTAAAAAAAAAAAAATGTGTATGCGTACGAGTCTGTTATTAGTAGAAATTTTTATTCTTTCCAATTCATTTCCAATTTCTATTCATTATTCAGTTCGGTAATTAAACTTCAAACTAATGATAGCAACTCGTTCTTTACACCGGTCGAAATATGTGACGGTAGTAATTTCTCGAAAATAAATTTTGCACGCTGCTCCTCTCGATCCGCCCTTCTCTAATGAATCTTTTAAACCTCTCTCCATTAATAACCTGACAGGAAACGTTGTGTAATTATGTTGATATATATGGCACGTGAGCGCAAGCGTGTATGCAAGCGTGAAAAAAAAATTTCCGTTTGCGGATTAGTGTGCAGCAGCGTGACGTGTTGTATGGTGACATTAATATAAATTCCCAAATGAATAAGGAAAAGAGATATATCCTTGTCAGGCGCAGCGAGGATCGATTATTTTATTCAACGGATTATCCCGGATCCGCCGATCCCGACCCAAGATACACACATTGTCCCATGTGTTCGCGGAGGTCGACGAGGGTTCCGTCGGAGACGAGAAAAATGGCGGGCTTGATGGATGCCAAACCGGAAATCTCGAAGGTACACGACGCGCGGAGGAACCAAAAAAAAAACGAGGAGGAAAAAGATCGCGCGGGCGAGCTCCATTCCTATATCATACGTCATGCGAAATGCGAATGTACGAAATGTGCGTATTATTTTCGAACGAATCACCACCGTCTCGCTATTTGTTTCTCGCGTGGAAGCAAACTCGGCCGGCGTAAAAATCTCGATAAACGCTGTAGAAACGTCTGTGGTGAGGTGTTCAGAAATAATCGTAAATTCTCAGAGCTCTATCATATCATGCAAATGCTCGCAACGCGAGTCATCGTTATCTCATACATACTAAATATGTGTATGTTTATATATGGGGATAATTTCCTGAAGATTGCATCTCTTCCGAGATTGATCTCGAAAGCCGAGCGCGTTGCGCTAATAAAGTAGTCACGAGAGTTTACATAATTCTCCGATTAAGAAATCAAACGACAGACGCGCTCGTCATCGCGGTTTATCAATATCGATGTTTCGAAAAGCGACATTTCATGCGACATATTCCTCAAGTATTTATGGTTCAAGTATAGGTTTTTATTATTGATTCTGCAAAGTATCGCGAACGACACTCTCCGATAGAGAAGAACATTGCGCGTATATGTAACCGTGTGAGCGACTACGGTCTCTCAAAGCTACGTGATATCGCGACGGGAAAACCAGATGTGGAAGAAATACATCGGGGAGAAAAGAAGAAGTTCAAACTCGCTTTTTGATATAGATCCCGGGGAGTTTGGATATTCGCGGAGGAGACAGTTCCATCCTCCGGCGCCGTTAAAGAAAGCAAAATATTCGATATCCAGAAATTTTTCGAATCACACTCTGGGCGCGAGCGAGCGAGCGTAGGGATTCGGGCGAGTCGCGTATCTATGAGAGCGACCGAAAATTCGTTCGCGTAAAATGTGACGACGAAAGTTGCCGCATAAAATGATTTTACAGAGAGAAATATCCGTGAAGAGATGAGAGTACAGCTGTAGTATGAAAAATCTCGAGATAAAAGAATGGTTTTTTATAATTAAAAACTTCCTTTCTTGTTGAGAAATTTAAAAAAGTGGATTTTCCCCTCGAAACTTTGTTTTACAAAAATAAACCTACATCTTAAAAGTTTGCTATCAAATATCTTGCCCGTCTAGCTCTCCCTCGGTTATAAAGTATTATGCATCGCGGGATAAGAGAAAATATAGCGCCTTTGCCTTTGTGAGAATCGCCATTTCAACGTCGCCTCTTAACGCTAAAGCGACCTTTGCAAGGCGTCCGTCGTGCACATGCCAGAAGTCACGTCAAAATCGGCGATTACGGCCGATTCTTGTGCCCGTGGATGAGTCTGCACATCCTCCGCAGTCCGTTGCACTCGTGCGGCGTTAGGAGAGATCGATGGGCTAACAGCGAGAGAACGCCGTGTGCATGATGCACTCGCGGTGCATTTCGTGTCACGACCGGCCGGCCGGCCGGCCGGCCGTCCGTCCGTCCGTCCGTTCGTTCGTTCGTTCGTTCGTTCGTTCGTTCGTTCGTTCGTTCGTTCGTTCGTTCGTTCGTTCGTTCGTTCGTTCGTTCTTCGCGTTTCGGCATGACAGAAACGAGAGAGATACGATCTTCTCTTGCCGGTGCCCGCTGCACGCAGCTTCTTTGTGTTCGGCTTTCGCAATTTCTCGTCGGAGATTTCGGGGCCGGATAAGTCCCGTCCTCGTTACCGCCGCTGCCGAGACCGGCGAGAGAAACGACGAAAAAGAGGAGAAACGAATAAAGCGCGCCTTTCCGTTTTCGACAGCTTTCGGCTTTTGGCGGAACTGAAGGCTACGTCGGTCAAAGGTTATTCCGCGGCGGGTACCTTAACCAAAAGGGCTAAGCAGCCCTTCTCTTTCTCCCTCTCTTTCTTTATCTGCTCGCGGAAACCTTCGTGATATCCCCCTCGGCGATCGGAGGGCGATATCCAGTGGATTTTATTGCGGCCGTTCGTCCAAAATCACGATTCGGAGATCCAACCGTTCTGCGGTTAAAGTTGTTTAAAATCGCTTTGAGAAAGAAATCACGTATTCCAGATTTTACGCTCGCTTTTATATTCTAGATTTTACGTACTTTACATTTTACTTCCTAGCTGCGCCGTTTAAATGCGATTAGAGTTGCTGTAATCAATAAGTTTCGTTGTTACAAATTTTTAGCAAATAATTTATATCAATTTATAAATAAAGCACCGATTTTTATGTCGACTTTGATCACAAAGAGTAATCTTTTACAGAGAGCAAAGAGGAAATGCGAAAGCTCATTGCCAGCTTTTAATTAATGCCGCTTGATTAATTTTGTTTTTCCTTTTACTTTGCTTTTCCGAAAGCAAAACTTTTATTAATCAATTATTAAGTTCTTAATAATATTAAATGACGTCATAAAACGTCAAACTAATTTTAACTTTAGTTTCGATATATTCCTTTGTATTTATTAAGCAAATCATAATG